CAAGATCAAAGTATCGATGAATTCTACGAGCTTTTAAACAAAGCTCTTGGTTCACTTCCACGTCATCAATTATCGACTGTTGCAGGAGATATGAACGCACAGGTCGTCGATGACAAGTGTCACCGTGGCTTTACTTAGCAACAATACGACTACAGGACACTGAATGACAACAGGCGACGGCTGTTAGACGTCTGCTTCACGCATGGCCTCGTCGTGAGGGAGTCGCTGTTCCTCAACCGTAAGATATGCCATCTAATGAAGACAGCGTCAGGTGACTGCTTCAGAATACAACTGAACCACTACTGGTCGAAGGAAAGTGGAGAAACGCTCTTCACGACATCCAGGAACAAATCAAAATTCTGATGTAAGTTGGATCACTTCATGGTGGTCGTAAACCTCCATAAACAACTGTCAACGTCTCGGAAAAAAGTGCGAAAAGTGGAGAACAACGGCTGATTCGCGACACCAGATAATTTATAATCCCGGAAACTTACGCGACGCTGCAAAACAAGACTAGTAACAAATTAACTGCTGTCAACGACATGACCTGTCAGCATCTTGAACCACCGTACTATATCGCCTCTGCAATAGCTAACACACTTTACTTCAGCAAAAAGACAAAGCACCCGCTGGTCTCGGCAAAAACCCTCATTCTTTGTTAGGAAAAACGGGGCGAAATAAAATTTTATACAACCGTGAAGCGACTTAAAAGAGAGCGTATCGGCTTCTCGTCGGAGCAGTCAACATGAGTTACCACAATGACGAATAAAAGTTGAATGAACTCGAAGTCTAGAAGCCAGCAAAGGCGTAATTGAGAAAGGAATTGAAAAAGCTGCACAGACATGTGAAAACTACACTACCAATGGCTGCAAACATAAGTTCCTAACTTGTAAGACTCATAGCCAGTCTAATAAGCCGCTTCTGAATCCAGAACGGCGGCAGGGGAAATGGGAAGATCACCTAGAAAAGTCCGCTCCAGCGGAGAGCCTGGAAATGAACGTCATATACAGAAAAAATGGAAATGGACCGATACATTCCTTGGAAAGCCGAAATTCGAGATACCTTGCGTCTCCGCGAAAATGGAAATCCTGTGAGAATGACAGGATTAATGCGTAAATCTTTAAATGCTGAAGTGAAATTATTATGAATTTAACTGATCTCGTTTATTTTGACAGCATCCACCGAAATTCAGAAATCCATGAGAACTGCAAGGCGTGATCATTCCCATATTCAAAGGTGGAATCGTTCTGACTGCGCCAACTTCT